CCAGAATTCCCCAGCCAGCATTCGCTGGCTGGGGAATTCTGGGAGTTGAAGTCCAGACATCTTCAAGTGGCCAGGGTTGATAAACACTGGCCTACCGGAAGTTTGGGAAGGCCGGAAACAGGCCTATTTCTGTCCTCCAGAGAGTCCCCGGAGCCATTTGCATTTTTGCCGTCCCGGAGGCTCGAAAAAAGCCTCTGGATCCCCGTCTTGGCGCAGGAGGCCGACTAGGCCCTGTCCATCATGGCCACGCCCACCCAGCAACCGGGCAGAGAACCCCTTGCTAAAATTTTTGAAGCCCACCCCTGGTTGTAAGTCGGGGACTACCTGTATTCAAAATGCCATAATATATTTCCCTTTGAAAGCAGAGCTTTTAAAAAAAAGTAATTCAGGATGGGAATGTCCGCTCCTTGCCCGTCTGAAGCCCTTCGCAGCACCGATGAAGGCAGGAAGCGCTCCCAGAAAGTGCACAATGCTAAAAGCAGACCAAAGGGTTAAAAAGCTGGAGTCATTCAATCCCTCCTTTCTAGACATCAGGTTTCCCTCCAGTCTAGCTACCCTCCTCCACCACTCATCTGTGCAATAGCTGCGCTTTTTGCTGGCTGTGCAATTTGGAGGTATTTGGAGAGTCTGTGTTCTTCAGTCACCTTAAAACCCATCTGTGGCCATCGAAGAAGTAACCATGGCTAGCTCAGGCTCCTGCACAAAGTTTCCCTGGCTCTTGTGGATTTGTCTGCAAGCCATTTGCCTTTGTCGAGCACAAGTGAGTTTTGCTTAATTTTTTTTTGTTATTCTTTTCAGATAAGCCAGACAATCGTAAAGGTAAGTCTTAAAACAGAAGGATTCCTATTCAATTGAAGCATCTATCAACTACTTGCTGTTTGATTCTCCTTTGGGTTGTCAACCAATTAAAACAGTGTGTATATTTCTAGTGATGCTGCTCTATTGGAAGAAGGTATGTGGTTATGCCCAGCTGGAGAGCTTCCTAGAGGAAGCCCCCATAAAATAGATTGCTTGACATATTATAGTTTGAACCTGCACTGAGTTATTTTTCCTAGTTGGCGCGGCTTCACAGGGATCCTCTACATAATTCAGAGTAATCTAATTAAGATCAACAAGTATGATTAGTTTGGGATTCATTCTACGGTACCGATTTTGATGCTTCCCTGCCCCAGATTATATTTAGTACCCTTCTGCTTTAAACCAGAATTTTTAGTCCAGGGAAGCTCATTTGTTTTAACTCCGTGCAATCCACAAAGGAGGCATCCTTCGGATTAAGTTAGTTGGGTTAATTATCACTTCAGCTCCCTAAGCACTTCTTATAATTACAAACAGGATAAGAAAAAAAGGGATCATTTCCTCCACATTTATCTGTGACGTGGGCTTCCAATTGATCTTAGTGATTGTGAATATAGAGCCAAAATTGATTTTTTTTAAAAATAATAATTACCTTATAGTGATATACACAAGTAACGGTACCAAGATAAATAAATGGAAGAAAGTTGAATGTGGAATAAGGCACTTTTCTGTGCGAAACACAGAATGGGAAATTTTCTGTGAATTTCACTGGGCTCACTTATTTGAGCATTCTGAAGAGATGATATGTTTCCTTATAACAGTCATTCATTGTTTTGTGAAAGAATTCTCTGGTGGCCGACACACTGTAAAGCAGAATCACATATATACAAGCATTCTTTTATGGGCTTACATTAAAAATAGATGAAAAGCTCTCCTTTTTTTAAAACGAGGAGCCGAGGTGGCGCAGTGGTTAGGGTGCAGTACTGCAGGCCACTTTAGCCGACTGTGATCTGCAGTTCAGCGGTTCAAATCT